CCTGACCTCAGCGGGCGCCTCTGAACCGCGCCGTCCTTCCAGCAGCCAGGATCCCGTGTTTGGACCTTTTTATGAGGTCACTTCCTCCCTGCTACAACCTGCAGCTCTGAGCCCAAACGGACTTCCTGCCTCCCGGGCAGAACCGGTTCTGGAGCAGACCTCCTCTAAGCGTCACACCTGCCTAGACTCCCCTGCAGGTTATCCCAGTTCTGGTGAAAGCGGTCCCAGCTGTGCTCCCCGGGTCCAGGTCCGGGGGTGGTCCTCAGAACCGACCGCTTCCTGTTCGCACAGCAGAGGCCTTGTTCCGGACCCGGTGGCCTCTCCTGTTTCAGGAAGGTCTCTGGGGACGGGCTCTCGGGTTTCCTGCAGTAAGCGGCGGGTGGTTCTGGTCAGGCAGTCCTTCGCTGCCGACTCCTCGCCTGCGGAGCTCGGAATGAACTTCCAGGAAATGACCTCCCAGAGTTTCTGTGAGCCTCCTGGATGGACGGACGGGTCGGACAGAACTCTGAGTCCGGCCTACCTGAGCCTAGGATCAGATGAAGGCAGCGCCACCGAGGTTTACTACAGCGCTCCAGAGGAGGAGGAGGAGGAGGAGGAGGGAGCGCAGCAGCCTGGGGGGGGGCTGACTGCTGGGACACTGAGGGGGGGGGCTGACACTGCTGAAGGAGGGGGGTCAGAAGGTCAGCTGCTGCTTCAGGGAAGCTCTGGGTTCATCCTGGGATCGACTCCTCAGATTGAGGTGAGAGAAGAAAGCGGCTGTGTTCAGGAGGGGGGGCGCAGTGGGGAGGGGGGGAGGGAGGAGCTACCTGTCCCACCGGTTCTACAGGTAAACGAGCCGAAGGAATGTGACTCGGAGCCGCCCTCCTCCGATCCAGAGGAGGGAAACCGGGCCGCAGACCTGGAAACTGGAGCTCTCTGGAGGGGGGTGCAGAGCCTGCAGGGGAACCTTCTAGATCCTGACGTCAGGAGAACCCAGGAACCTGAGGAGCAGCTCCCAGTCCAGGCAGGAGAGGAAGAGGAGCGCGCCTTCCTCGTCTCTGCAGCAGCAGGACGGATACCTGACGCTGCTGCTGAGGGGGCGGGGACCATGACTCAGAGCCGCCACTCAAACGCTGCAACGCAGCAGCAGGAGTCAGACGAGCCGTCGGCAGCCCGACCGCACGGACCTCCTGCCCTGGATCCAGGTCACCGCCGCCTCAGGTGAGTTTATCCTCACATCCAGTCCAGACCGGTTCTGATCCACCGAGCTGATGCAGCAGCAGCCCAGAACTGGATCTATAAAGTAGATCAACAAACTTAGAATGTAGCATCTAGAATGTATTACATGCATATCAATGAACTGACTGTGTGTGGGGGGGTTCGTCCAGTTCTGGACCCCTGCATGGTTCACAACATCCCAGTGAGGAAGAGGAGGCTTAGCCGCGGTTCTATAGAACTATAGCAGGACGTCAGCATTTATCTTCATTTGGATTCTCTAGTTCAGAAGATCCAGGTGGGTCTGATGGATCCAGGTGGGTCTAATGGATCCAGGAGGGTCTGATGGATCCAGGAGGGTCTGATGGATCCAGG